TATCTTAGTCTTTTAATTCAAACTGGTTAGACTAATATATTTCACTGTCAGATTGAATTCCCTTGCCTGAAGATAAGTTTAAGAAGTTTTTTTTTTGCAAATTACCTATTGAATCTTACTTAAAGCAGAATTTACATTGAATGTGCCAAGGAACTAAGTAGCCATACCTATCAGCAGTAATGTTCACAGGGCACTGGGTGTCTGCTGGAAAGAGCAGTTCTCAAACTTTTTGGTCTTAAGACCTTTTGTTTATGTGGGTTATATATATGATACTGAAAATAAGTTATAAAATATTTATTCATTAAAAATAATAAGCACATGTTAATATAAAACCACATTTTATTGAAAATGCATTTTCTAAAAAATTCAGTGAGAAAAGTGGCATTGTATTCCATTTTTTGCAACTGTCTTTACCATCTGACTTAGAGAAGACAGATGGACTCTTGTATCTGCTTCAGCTTTCGTTCTGTTGGATGTCGCACATTGTGTGGCCTCTGGTAAATGCTGCTGTATATTCACGAGAGAAGGCGGGCGCAAATAATGTCTTAGTTTGGTTATGAAAATAGTTTGACTTAGGGACCTCCTGCAAGAACCATTCTTACAAAGCAGTTTACAGTGATTCTCGAGTCTTAGTGGAAGAATCACTTGGGAAGCACTTCAGAGTATCTGTTCCAAGCATCTGCCGCACACATTCTGATTCATGGTATCTGGGATGGATCCCAGATCTCTGCATTTGTAATAGCTCAAGTGATTTTTAGGTATGTAGTAGAAGAACCATTCCTTCACTGTGCTTCCACCCTAAGAAAATAAACCTGCGTGTTTCACCAGGAACAGTGGAAGACGACTCTCCACTCAAATGGGACTTCTGGACCTTTTACGTTTAATTCTTTCTTTCCCACGGTTGGTTCTTAGACTGTTCCCCTTTAACTCTTAATCATGGTATAAACCTGTACTTCCTCTTCTCTAGGCAGCCTCTTCTGAGGCTGGAACATTTAAATGAGATTTTCATTAGAAGCTCATGAATAATAAAAGGGAAATACAGACAACTAGATGACCCTGTTGGTAAGCTACATCTTGTGTTCGGTCTGGAACAAGACTGCTTCCTTTTCTAGCTCGCAGCCTTCCATATGGTAGACGCTTATCTTTTTATCAGGAAGAGAGGAAGGGCAAAGGAGAACCTTTTCCTTTTGTCATTTACTTCCAGAATTGAACAGATATATAATAGAAAGTACTGTCACTATGTTTACGGCTGTAGTAGAGCCCACTCCAGTGAACTATAACGGTATTCTTAAAACGAGGGGATGGTAAAAATCAGTGAACTCTTTCAGATATAAAAGTAAGATGATTCTTAATATATTTTTCAAGAGTCTGTAAGAAAAAGTTTCCTATAGGCCTGTCACGAAGCTTTGTATAATTTAATTTGCATACTCTATGTGATTCTCCATATATTTCTATAAAAGGGCTTCTCATTGGAAATACTTTCCTTGTACCTATAAAAAAAACCTTCTTTGTGGATTTTTCAGTTTTTAATTATCTGTCCAGAATATACATTGGAGGTTTTCTTGTGTGTACATGTAGAATATACCCCAGTGAGAAATTCCTATGGAGAAAGACCCATCATCAGCAATACTTCATTTCTGTAACTGTGAACACCTTCGTTAATGTGAATAATAATCTCAGAGGTTTTCAAAATGAGAATCATCCGTTAAAGCTTTCTACCTTAAAAATAAAAAACTGAAAGGTTGTTAATTCAGTGTGTGGATTATGTAAAACATACTGATGTTAGAAAATATAAATTGAATTTGGCAAGGCAAGGGAAGGCAAACTTGAAAATAATCAAAACATTTTAGGTGTGGAATACAGTTTGACCTACGTAGTTGTTTCAAAACTCATCAGTCTCTTGAAAATCAGTGTTTAGGCTGATACAAGAAGTACATTTCTGGTTTTATGGATTTTGATTTAATAGTTAAATTAGTATGCATTATGTAGGCTGTAAAACTGGTCTTATTTTATTTTATAGACTTTTTTCATTCAGAACACTTTTCCTTATATTTCATTGTGTTGAAAATACGGTATTATGCATCTGTTTCAGTGCCTTATTTTGAAAGCAATCTTTGGCTAACAGTTGAATGTTGTCTTAAGAATGAAATAATAATTCATTAAAAGGATCTGTGAAATAATCTACAGTTGCTTCTTACACAGTAGTTGCATCTGGGTGTATTTGTTACTTTTATTTGGCACTGGCAAAGTCATTCAGTTTGAGAATCAACATTTATTAGGTGCCTTCTGTTTGCCAGGTACTTTAATCGGTGTTACTTTCATTTAATCCTCAGAAATGTTAAAATGTGATTATTTTTAATACTCAGAGGTAGGTTTTTTAAAAAACCACTTGTGTCCTGAGTTGAATTAGGATGAAGATTCCTTGGTAGGGTTTACTTCTTTGTTCTAAGTACAAACCATTTAATTAAGAAATTGCTCATCACGCTAATCTTGAGATAGAACTGGCTTTTTCAATAAACTAATATCTGGCTCTTTGTCATTAGCTTTAAATATTTTTTTCACAGATAATTCATATTCTTTGTAGAAAATTGTAAAATGCTGAAATGATCTTTAAATCACCTATTTCACCTTTCAAATAATATAACCACTGATATTTTGGTGTGCATCCTTTCAGGTATTTTTAAGTGAATCAGTTTTTATATTAATTAAAAGACTTCTTGGTTATTGCAGTGCTGTTTTATATATTGAAGTCTAACATACTTGTCTTTAACTAAAAATTACATTCAGAACATGCAATCACTTTTAACTAGAATAATAGCTGTTAGGGACAGATGCCTTTAAATTACATTTTTGTGCAGAAGCCAAAAAAATGCAGGGTTTCTTCTTTTACTCTTTTTCTTTCAAAATTAAAATTATGGTAGTTTATGCAGCAAAGTACAGATATTGGGAATGAAGTGCTTCCAGACCTAAAAATGCTATCAAATGATGTATGTAAAAGTAGATTATCCAAAGAAACTGCAGCTTGAGTTTATTTAAGTTTCCAAGGAATTAAATATTTAACACATGCATTATCTAAGTATCCTTCCACAATCAAGAAAACGGAAGGTACCCATTTTGTAGGTTAAAGAATTGAGAGGCATATTTGCAGTATATACAAATACTGAATCATTACTTTGTACACCTGAAACTAGTATACTGTTACATGTCAGTTATACCTCTAATTAGAAAAAAGAATTGAGGCATAGAAAATGATTTTAGACTGGGTAGTATATACTTTAGGATTACATTTAGCTGTGACAGAAAAATCTAAAATAATAGTGACTTAGAGAACAAAACTTTATTTCCATGCAAAAGTCCATAGAGAAGCAGTTCAGGACTGGGAGATCAACTTCATAAAACTTCAGGCTCCTGTGCTGTTAATCTGCTGATGCCAGCACTTAACCTCAGGCCACAAGAGAGCTGCTTTAGCACCAGTCACATCTGCGTTCCATCTGATGGAAAGCACACACACCTTTACTTTTAAAAGCAGAAAAACGAAACAAAAAATGGCTCTATTAGGATGTAATTCACATACCTTACCATTCACCCAATTAAAGTCTACAATTCAGTGGTTTTAGTATAGACACAGAATTGTGCAACCACCACCACAGTCTAACTTTAGAATATTTTCATCCTATCTTCAACCCTGTACTCACTCATTAGTCAGTCTCTACCCAAAGTCCTAGGCAACCGCAAATCTACATTCTCTCTGCAGATTTACCTATACTGGACATTGCATATAAATGGAAGCATACAGTACATGGTTTTCCCATCTTCTCATTTAAGGTTTCCCAAGTTCACCATGTTCTTTTTTGGAATAATAGTCCATTGTATGGATATATACCTGCCACACTTTATCCATCAGTTGATGGACATTTGGGTTTCACTTTGGGTTACAAGTAACGTGGCTATGAACATTTGTGTTCACGTTTTTGTGTGAACATGTTTTTTTCTGGAGTATATACTTAGGAAGAATTGCTGAGTCATTGGGTGATTCCAGGTTTAACTTTTTGAAGAGCCGGATTTCCATAGTGCCTCCACTGGTTAACATATCCACCAGCAAGGTGTCATTTCTCCACACCCTCCCTGATGCTTGTTCCTGTAGGCTTTTTTAATCTAGCCTTCCAGTGGTGTGGTATCTTGCAGCTTTGTATTTCCTTAATGACCTAAGAATCTTCTCATGTGTTCATTGTTTGTGTTTGGAGAAATACCTATAGAAATCCTCCCATTTTACAATTAGGTTGTCTTTTATTGTTGAATTTTAAGAATTCTTTATATATTCCAGTACCAGTCTATGATTTGCAGATAATGCTCCCATTCAGTGGGTTATCTTTTCAGTTGTTGGATGGTTTGCTGCACAAAATTTCTCACTTAGATAGTCCAACTTACGATGTCCTAACAACAGTTGTCTAACCCAAGGTTATGATTTGCTCGTTTTCTTCGAGGTGTTTTATAGTTTTAGCCTTTACACTTAGGTCTGTGGTGCATTTTCGGTTACTTTTTGTGTGCGATGTAACCCCTTACCTTTGAGGGGGGACTTCTCTGGTCAACTGCCTCTACACTGCTCTGCTTTCGTTCAGTGGCCCGAGTTACGTGGCTACACCCATCTCATCTGCGCGAGGCTGGACAATGTGTGTTTCAGGCATCTTGTATCAAATGTAGATTGTAAACCTTTTCGGCCATAGTCCTAAACAAGTCAATTCTATTGCTTCGCTTTTCAAATAAATGGATCTGGCGATTTTTCACCCGCGAGGATTTAGCAGGGTGATCAGCGCGAACGGGCGCTGGTTCTCACTCCCTCCGGGACCTGCTCCTAGGACTGCAGTCCCGAGGGACTTACCGGCCTTCGCCCCCTACCTACCCCAGCCCCCAGCGAGTTTGGGCTCCCGGGGGAAACGAACCGGCGCCCTTCGCGTCTTCCCGCTGGCTCCCGCGGCCCGCCCCTCGCCGCGCCGCGCCCACTCGGCCCCCGGAGCCGCCCTCCCCGCGGGAGCCGGGGCGCCCGCCGGGCGATAACGCCGCAGGGCCGCGGCCGCGGTTGGAGCTGCCGTGCGCCATGGCCGCGTCCCGCGGAGCGCCCCGGGCCCCCGCCGTCGAGGCGCCGCCGCCCCAGCCGGACGCGCGCACTTTGGACCGCGGCTCGGTGAGCGCAGGGCGAGGGGGGGAGCCGGGGCTGCGCGAGGGAGGTGGCGGGAAGGGGCGCTGGCCCCGGCGTTCAGGCTTCTGAGCCCCCCCAGTAGAGCCGAAAGGCCGAGATACTCGGGAGCGCCAAAGAGAACAGGGAAACTGAGTCCCAGGCTATTGAGGTAACTTGCTGCATTGAGTCAGCTAGGCTGGCAGGACCGGGGCCAGTCTCTGGTCTCCTGATTCTCAAATTAGGGCTCTTGCCCGCCACAGTCCAGGTCTTCCCAGAGCTCTCTGGCCCCCCGGGAAGGTAGGACTTCCCGCTGCGTGTGGGGGGCCGCCTCCCCTCCCCAGTCTCCGAGAGCAGCTGGCACCGGGCTCGCTGGAGACTGTCCTCAAGACGACTTCTGGCAAGTAAGCCCCGCAGTGAGGGAGGAGGGCAGGTGGGAAGCCGGGGGTGTCCTCAGGCCGTCCTCACCCCTGCGTGGATGGGGCCGCGCGCCAGCCGGTCAGGGTGGCTGTGTCCAAGAGGGGGCAGGACCCAGGAGCTTCGTGGGGACAAAGCTCCATCGCTTGCTCCATGCTCAACGCGACCGTGGTCTGTGGCTTCACTTCAGCCCCTCAGTTCTCTCCCTTAACTCAGTGCTTCCTGTCAGACACCTCAGAGTAAAGGCCTGTGGCCCCCAAGAAAGAAAGGGAGATAGGGAGGCCCCCTGGGGACCCTCCTTTCCCAGGGAGATTTAGAAATTCAAGAGGAGATGGATGGCAGGAGGGAAAGCCAACCTTGTTCAAAGAAGCGCCAGCATTTAGTTCTCATAACGACCTTCTCCCGTCTTTCACCCCATTTTACTTGGGAGGAAATGAAGCCCAGTCCCGCTGAAGTGCCCTAGAAGTACCTTCTAGTAGGGCTAGAAGTGGCACACAGAATTTGAATCCCAGTTAGTCCAATGCTAAAACTTGTGCTCGGTTAACTGCGAAAGACTTAAGAAGTTCAAGTAGGTGAAACTGCTGTCCACAGGGCTCCAAGAGTAGTTTCAGCCGGAAGTTCTCCTTCAAGCGACTTCTGTGTGCCAGAAGCTTGCTAGGAGGGTTGGGGGGAGGGGGGCAGAGGCACAGGGGGTGCTGTGGGGTTATCATACCGGATTCTGCCTCTTACTAACAATTTCTGGAAGTTGAAATAATGTTCACACAAGCGTCAGAAAAGGAGATGACATCCTGCCTCGTGTGTGGTTTTCTTCCGCGGGTAAGGAGAGTGTGCAAAGGATATGATAAACCATTATCTGGCAAGAACCTCCCTTCAGAAGTGCCCATGTGGGGTGTCCTGCAAGATACTAAAATGGGTGAAGTCATAGTCCTCTCCACTCTCCCTCCCATCCCCAAGCAAAGGATCAAAAGGAAGGACTCCCAGCATCTTTTGAAGAAACAGCCTTTTCCCTAGTCTTCATGACATTGATTTCTTCAACAAACGTATATAGCATCGGCTATATACCAGACATGGTGGTGAATAAAAATTATAGCACATGCTCTCAGAGAGTTTACGTTCTCTTGGAGAGGCAGGAAATAAATGAGAATGTATTAGGTATTAGGTACACTAGAGAGAGAATTGGGTAGTCAGGGAAGGCCTCTGTGAGGAGATGACATTCAGGCTTGAATGGCAAGGAGTCAGCTCTGCAAAGACTGAGAGGAAGAGCCCTCTAAACAGAAGCAACAGAAAGTGCAAAGGCCCTGAGGCAGCAACGGGCATGTTGGTATTGAGGCATAGCAAGGAAGGTACCAAGGTTGAGGAGAGCTGTCTGAAGTGAGGTGGGAAAGGGGCTGGGGTCTGTTTGGGTGGGCTCCTGTAGGCTAGATGGGAAGGACTTGGAATTGTATTCAAACTGCAGTGGCAAGCTGCAGTTGGAGAGTTTTAAGCAGAGATGAGACAGGATAAAATTTGTGTTATAAAAAGATCACCTTGGCTGCTGGATAGAGTGTGGACAGTGGGGAATGAGCAGAAGCTGGGAAGCCACTTAGGAGGCCACTGATAGATTTGGTGAGGGAATTGGAAAAGAGAAATCAAGGTTTGTGGCCTGAGCTGCTGAGTGGACATTGGATATTGGGGCCATTTAATGCAATAGGGACAATAGGGTTAGGAGTTGGTTTAGACAATGGATGGAAATCAGCAGCTGTGTTTTGACCATGCTAAGCTGAAATGCCTGGTAGGCAACCATGTGGGTCTGTTAGTAGGCAGTCGAATATTCCAGTCTGGAGTTCACTGGATAGCTTAGGGCTTATGAGATATGTATCTGTCTCACGCACACGCACACGCACACATGCACTCACATGCACACACACACCACTTGGAATCATGAACATTACTTTATTTCAGTGGTGGGCTAGTAAACAGTCTCCCCAGGAAAATAAAGAAAGCAACTCTGATTTGTAGTGTTTGCTGATTCCTGTGGTATAAATTCACCACAGCTGATTTCAGGCTGCCAGTGGTTCGAGGACTGGCCAAGGTCCTGGACATTTAACCATCAGCTCCTGCAGCAAATAACACTCAGCTTCATCAAGACACCTCTTGAAATTGGCAGGAATACTGTGTTTGACACAGAAGGCTTCAGGAGATACAGTGCTTTATTCAACGTCACACCAGGAGTTGGTAGCAAAGTTGGGAGCCTCCTGACCCCCCAGTTCACTCTGGCTTGCTGACTCAAGAGAACAAAGCAGACTGCAGGAGGAAGCACTAAGAGGGGAAAAGGAAGAACTTGTCCCGTGGAATGTGGGATCTTTGAGAGGTCATAGCTTAGGATTTTTTCCCCCTCTCTGTCTCACTTCCCTTTACGATGATCTAGGGCAAATGAGGACTGAGAGGTTTCTGGAGGAGCCCTCAAGACAAAGGGACCTCAGGATGCTTATGGAGGCTCAGGAGGGTACGGGCGACTGTTGTGTATCTGCGCAGGCTGGGGGCTTAGCTCCTGTGTTCCCCCCCCAGGACAGCAGAGCCGGTCAGCTCTCATTCTGTACCAAGGTGTGCTATGGCATTGGTGGGATCCCCAACCAGGTGGCCTCCAGCGCCACAGCCTTTTACCTGCAACTGTTCCTGCTTGATGTGGCACAGGTGAGTGTGGGAAGCAGCCCAGGGCCCCCTATTCCCATCTTCCTTGGTACCCAGTTCTCCCACCCCGACCTGTACTACCCTGGATAGATGGCACTTCTGTCCCCAAACTGACAGTAAGTCAAATGCCTTTGAGGGCAGCCCCCTTAAGGATGTTTACTGCAGGCTGTTTGTGGTGAAAAATGGGGAAACTATGAATGCCCAACAATATAGAAGTAGTTGATTAATAAGTTGGGTAAGAGCCACATAATGGACAGTTGTGTAGTCATTCAAAAGGAAGAGCTAGTCTGTACCAGTTGGCTTGGAGGGAGTTCCATGATGCACTGTCAAGTGAGAAAAGTTGCTTTCACAGTATACAAATTGATTCTATTTTACCAAAATAAAGACATGCCCCATATATATAGGTACATGGGTATGTGAAATATGACTATACGTGGTTCAGATACAGGCATGAAGAAAATAAATTACAAATAAATTACAGAAGGACATACACAGGCTGTTACTGTTGCCTATAGGAGGGAATGGTGGAGGATAGAGAGCAGAAGGAAAGATTTCTCATACTGTACCCATGATTTTGTTAAATGACACTCATATGATCTCATTTATGTAAAATTATAAATTATGAATGCACAGAAATAAATGCCTGAAAGGGTGATCACCAGAATGCTCTGGCAGTTATCTCAGGATGGGGAGACTTCAAAGGAGTTTTGCTCAATATTTTTCTGTACTGCTTGAATGTTATTTTATAATGAGTGTGTCATTTATGTAATCAGAAAAATTAATAAAACATTGTCACTGTGAAACAAAAAGTCTACCTCTGTCACCCTTCTTGTACAGATGAGGGTCCCCAAGCCTTCTCCAAAAGCGACTGGGCAAGAGTGGTAATGGGAATGTGGCAATGTGTGGCTGTCGGCTCCTCCCCTCCCCCTCTCTTCACTAGCGCAGCTGTGCCCTGAGAACCTTCTGGATTTGTAGACAGGGAAAGAGACCTCACAGACCTTTCTCCTGGCAGGTAGGCAGGCCCAGACACCCTCTCTGACTCTGCCAGGACTCGGCCATCCTCCCACCTGTGCTTTTCAGATCCCTGCTGCCCAGGTGTCACTTGTCCTATTTGGAGGGAAGGTGTCTGGGGCAGCTGCCGACCCTGTGGCTGGGTTCTTCATCAACAGAAGCAGGAGGACAGGGTCTGGACGCCTCATGCCCTGGTGAGCAGCCCCATAATCCTCAGGGTCCTGGCTTCCAACCCTGGCCTGAGGCCACCGGGTTTGTGACAGCCCCGCTTCTTAGTGGAAACCCGTGTGGACGGTGAGAGGACCGGATGGTTATAGGTGGCGGCGCCGGACTAGGTTAGGCTGAGCCAGGCAGGAGTTCAGAGACATTCTTGGGGACTCTCCGTCACCAGGATGCACAGGGCTGGACAAAGCCTTGTAGGCTCCCGGGCCTGACTGGGGGGTCTATGTGTAGCCAGGGTGGGCTGGAGGCCTTGGAAGTCCTTATGGAGGATAGGCCTCGCTGGCGCTCCAGGGTCCTGGAGACTGAGAATGGCAAGGCCAACCCCCAAGTGCCCCCCCCCGAGTTCTGCAGTGAATGGCCCCACACCCCCAGCTACCGCCAGAGCCCATCAGCCACCTCTCCCTCTCCTCCTCCGCGGTGGGCACACTGGTAGTCCCAGCCCAGGGCTCCTGTTGGGGGCAGATGACTTCTTCACCCAGAAGGGTGTGGTGGTTCCAGGTTTGCCCTTCATAGGCCCCATCCCGCTGCCCCACCTCCGCTGTGCTTCCACAGGGTGCTGGGCTGCACGCCCTTCATCACCGTGGCCTACTTCCTCCTGTGGTTCCTGCCCCCCTTCACCAGCCTGCGGGGCCTCTGGTACACCGGCTGCTACTGCCTGTTCCAGGCCCTGGCCACGGTAAGCCGGTGGCCCCGCTGCTGGTCAGTGGCCACCGTGAGGTGTTGTGTGGAGGGGAGAGGGCAAGTAGCCCCGAGGGACCCACTGCCCGCCGCGGCTCACCCCTCCCGCCCTCCGCCCCTTACTCTGGGTTTGACGGATCCGCCAGGACGTGCCAGTCGGGGTCGTCGGGGTTGGGACTGGGGGCGGCGGGGGCCAGCCTGAGCCCGGCCTGGGCGACCGCAGTTCTTCCAGGTGCCCTACGCGGCGCTCACCATGCTCCTGACCCCGTGCCCGAGGGAGCGGGACTCGGCCACCGCGTACCGTGAGTGCGGGGCGTGCGCGCGGGTGGGAGGCCGCGGACCCCGGGCCCGCCAGCGCGCGTCACCCGGCGCCGCTCTGTCCCAGGGATGACCATGGAGATGGCGGGGACGCTGATGGGAGCCGCCGTCCACGGGCTCATCGTGTCGGGCGCCCACGGGCCGCACAGGTGCGAGGACGTCGCGCTCGCCGGGTCGGCCGTCGTCTCCCCCGACGCGGTGAGTGTCCCTGCGGCCCGGCCTCTGGGCGTCGCTCGCCTCTCCCGCCCTCCTCCTCCAGCCGGTGCCCCCGCGGCCCGCGCCCGCTCACCCCGCTTCTCCGCCCGAGCGCCTTCTCATCGGAAAGCAACAGATCGCAGAGCAGCAGGAGGGGAGAGGGGTGGGAAAGGGCCACAGGCAGGGGCAGGAGAGAGGGGCTGGCGTCCCTGTGGCGCTCGGGGTGACACCCCTCCTGTGGCCGGTCCCACCCCGGCCTCACCCGCAGTGTGCACGGAGAAGGGGAAACCTGAAAGCAGTTTCCCTTCGTCTCCCCGCAAACCAGATCTCTCCTCAGCAGCTAAGTCCGCGCATCTGTTATCCATCCAGTTCAGCTCTTCTTCCCTTAAGCAAGTGATGTGATTGTCCCCGGAGTCCCGGGAGCCAACATTTACTCCTCCCTCTCCAGCCATGACCCCCACTCCCACCCATTACCAAATCCCATGCTCGTGTTGGGCCCCAGATCTTCTGCACCTGGCATCCCCCGCGTCTCCCGGTCACCCCAGTACTGCATCAGCCTCCCACGGAGTACCGCAGCCTCCAGCGACACCCCCAGCCCGGTCAGGGTGACATTGGAAAGGAGTTCCATCGTGGGCAGCCCCCACTTTCAGGACCCAGCCCAGGCTGGCTTCGGTTTGTGGCCTCTGCTCAGTGTTCCCTGCATCATTCTTCTTTGTCATTTAGGAAATAGCTCAGGTTCACAAAAAATTATCCAGCTGCGGTTCTCCAAGTGCGGTCGCTGGACAGCAAGCAGCCTCAACATCACCTGGAAACTTGTTAGAAGGGCAGATTCTTGGGGCCCTGCCTAGAACTACTGATTGACAAATTTGGGGAGGGATCCAGCAGTCTGTGTTGTTCTGAACGAGCCTTCCGGGGGATTCTGACCCCCACCGGCGTTTGAGAATCGGTGGTATGAGAACAATACCACACCAGGGGCCCCGCACCGGCTCAAGAAAACATTACAGTGGAGTCCTGTGTATCCACCCCAGCCCTCTCCTCAGGGCCAGCTACAAAATTGGCCCATGAACACTGACTGCAAAGTGCAAACACAGGGCTCTGGAAAGAGCAGGGAAGTCTGTCTGTCCTTCCCATGGCCCACTGCCCTAACCGAGGGATTGTTTGAGTAGAGATGTGTAACTGACCCCACCCAGGTGCCCTCAGACCCATCATGGAGGCGGGCCCAGGACCAGAAGGTGGTGGCCTTGCCCCTCCCAGACTGACTCTTTCCATGTGTTTGCCCATGTCCCCGCTCAGGCCTCCACAGGCCTCCTCCCCAAAGGTACTGGGTCGCTCTCTGGGTGGGGGTGACAGTGGCCTTGGGTTGGCCTGGCCTGGCCTGGAGTGCAAAGGAATGGGTAGCAGGAGGCTGAGAAGGTCACCCCTAGAGGTGGAGCCTCGTGTGAGCCAAAGCACAAAGCTCCAGGTACCCCGGTGAGGGCCTGTCCACCTCCTTCTTTCTTCCCCTCCCCAGAGACAAGCTCAGCCTGAGCAGGTGACTGTTACTCCCATGCATGTCTTTACATGGATTTTATCACTTATGTATCTTCCCCTGGACATAAGGTAGCACCATTTCTGTTTTCACCATTTATCTGGGATCTCGTGCCTCACGCTATGCTGTAGCTTTCTGCTCGTGCGTCTGTCTTCCGCATTTTAAGCCCCTTACTGGGGATGGACAGGAGTCAAACCAATGTTTGCCTTAAAAAATGAGAGCGAAAGAGAGAGGAAGGGCGCCGACCCCTGGTGGCATAGATGCCCTCCTGTTCACGCAAGAGGCACAGAGGCAGCAGAAGGACCATTCTGGGCCCTAACATCTCTGTCTCCTGCTCTGGTGATTGGGAGGAGAGACACCCAGCATCCTTGGGCTTGGACTGAAGGTCCCTCTGCCCCACTGGGAAACACTCCTGTCCTGGGTGTCCCCACTTCCATAGGTTGGAGACATCACCCCCAGCCCAGTTCTGTCCTGTCCCACAGACTCGTCTCTACTCCATTGCAGCCGCCGTGCTTGCTCTGACTTACCCTGTGTGCACTAGTTTGCTCTGCCTCGGGGTGAAGGAGCGACCAGGTAAGGGGGTGCAGCCGGACCGTGGGAAGCCGAAGCTGGGACAGGATTCCTCTTGGGCCTGTGTTTTGGTTTTAGACTCTGCCAAGCCCAAGTGTTGTCCTCCTGTGTTGCAGACTCCTCCGGCCCAGCCTCAGGCCAAGGCCTGAACTTCCTGGCTGGGCTGGGCCTCACTGTCCGGCACCGGCCCTACCTGAAGCTGGTGATCTCCTTCCTGTTCATCTCAGCAGCCATTCAGGTACCTCTGGCCTTGGCTCTGGCCATACTGACCCTGTGAAGGTTCAGGTACAGCCTCTCGGCCCCACCGACCAGAGTTGGGCTTAAATCGAGAGAAATGGTGGCTGGCACAGGTTCCAGAAAGTCTGGTGCAGGGAGGAGAGAGACCTACACAGAACTTGTGGGACCAGGGAGAGGGTCAAGGTTAGGCAGTAGGAAGCTGACAAAATCCGGGTAGTAAGGTCCGCTAGCCGGGCAAGGGGGAGGATGGACTAGGAATGGTATTTATACCTGTTTCGGGGCTGAGTGTCCTTTGTGGGGGAGGGGACTGCATGTTGCATGACGAGAGCAACAACTGGTGTTTGAGGTCCCAAAGAAGAGGCCAGACTTGCGACCCAGGCCTTCTGAATTCCTGCCATTGCCGAGACACGCCCACTTGCTCTTGGCCTTCTCAGGTGGAGCAGAGCTACCTGGTCCTGTTCTGTACACACGCCTCCCGGCTCCATGATCACGTCCAGGGCGTGGTGCTGACCATCCTGGTGAGTGGTCCTGGGGTGATGGAGACAAGCTCCCGCAGAGACCGGAGTCGGGGACCTGGTGTGGTTCTTGACAAGACATGTGTAGCCAGAATTCCAGTCAACATTCTGGACTCCTCTGTGATCTTGGTCACCTGCACTCCAGCAGAAGGTGGGATCGAGGCTGGGGTCATAAAGTTCATAGCCACTGGTTCCAACCAGGGGGCAAAGTCAAGGTCAAGCATCCCACCTAAAAGCCAGGGCTTCCGGAAGCTGGGTGGGTTAAGGCATTGGCAGCCCCGCCCAGGCTGGGATGATTTCTCTCTGTTCACAGGTCTCAGCTGTGCTGAGCACCCCACTGTGGGAGTGGGTTCTACAGCGATTTGGGAAGAAGACATCAGCCTTCGGGATCTGTGTGAGATAAGAAGCAAGGCCTGGAGTGGGTGCAGGAAGGTGTCAGGGTCAGGGAGGTGGCCTTGGAGCCTGAGCTTCCTGGGGGCCGGCAGGGCTGATCTGTACTCTCTTGTGTCTTCAGTCCCTTGGAGAGGACCAGATGCAGGGGCTAGTAGTAAAGACCAGTGAGTGTGGGAATGATAGAGCAAGTCAGGGACAGGTGGAAGGATCAGCTGGTGTATCTGTCTCCCCAGGTGATGGTGCCTTTTGCAATTCTGTTGGCTGCTGTACCCACAGCACCTGTGGCATATGTGGTGGCCTTTGTGTCTGGCCTGAGCATTGCTGTGTCCTTGCTGCTACCCTGGTAGGCTGGGTGAAGGGGAAGGGATGTGTCCATCCTCATGGGTATGCCCTCTTTCACATCCACCTGTCGTCCCAGGCCCCCTGTGCCCAGCTTGTGCTAGGGAGGGGCTCTCCTACCTGCAGGAGATGGAGGCCACCAGTTCCGTCCTTGGAGCTCTCCTGGAAGGGCACTGGACGGCAGGAAGTGTGGGCAACCGTATTGGGGGAGGGAGCTGAAACGCAAGCACCTGTGGCCAGGCTCTCCGTGGGCTAGTCCTGGTCCTGGGCAGCAGGAACCCAAAGATGAATCTGACTTGGTCTCTGTCCTCAGAGAGCTCTCAGGCTCGTGGCTGTCAAGGGGATAAAAGGGATAACCCTGCAGCCCTCTCCCGCAGGTCCATGCTTCCAGATGTGGTGGATGCCTTCCAGCAGCAGCATCAGCATGGCCCGGGCCTGGAGACCATCTTCTATTCATCCTATGTCTTCTTCACCAAGCTTTCTGGCGCAGGCTCCCTGGGCATCTCCACTCTCAGTCTGGAGTGAGTCCCAGGGTCGGGCTGTATTAGAGGCACAAACACCGAGCTGGGTGGGAAGAGGGCAGAGTTCTCAGTTCCATCGGTGCTCCCTGGCCAGTCCAACTCTCCCTTCCATCATGGTTAAGCTGATCTGGCTGGGGAATGACTCCTGGATTCAGGGTGGTGTGGGGGTGGAGTATCGGGGAGCCTTCCTGCCAGGTCCGGTGGGATCGGAGCTGGAGGCGTGGGGATGCTGTTTCTCCAGGTTTGCGGGCTACGAGGCAGGAGCCTGCACGCAGGCGGAGCGGGTGGTGGTGACCCTCAAGGTCCTCATCGGGGCCGTGCCCACCTGCATGATCATCACCGGTCTGTGCATCCTCATGGTGGGCCCCGCACCAAAGGTGCCGAGCCAGGACCCCTCCCGCCGGCAGAGCCTTCAGAGGTGGGCACCCCACGCACATGGGTACACACGGCGGGGTACCAGCAGCCAGGCGTGCACAAACGTGTGCCAGCGTGAGACTAACAGGCCCGCCGTTGTCCCTGAGACATTTACGAGGTCGAACACTTCCGCCTTTGCAGACTCCTCCCACAGATTCGTCACTCTTCGGTGATGCCATATGCTCCTGGATTTTTTTTTTTTTAAGATTTATTTAGTTATTTTTTCAGAGAGAGTGAGGGAGAGCATGAGTTGGGTGGGGGGCAGAGAGAGAGGACGAGAAGCAGACTCCCCGTGGAGCACGGAACCCAACACGGGGCTTGATCTCATGACCCTGAGATCATGACACGAGCTGAAACCGATTGAGCCACCTGGTTGTCCCTGCTCCTGAACTTTCTTTTTTTTTTTAAGATTTTATTTATTCATTTGTCAGAGAGAGAGAAGAGAGAAAGAGAGAGAGAGCATAAGCACAGGGAGCAGCAGAGGGAGCAGCAGACTCCCCAGCTGCTGAACTCAGTCCTGGGACTCCAGGATCATGACCTGAGCCGAAGGTGGTTGCTTAACTGACTAAGCCACCAGGGCAACTGAGACACCTAGGCGTCCCCTCTTGGATTCTCTCCAGCTACTCTGCACATCCCTTCTTAGTCTCCCTCCCTCGATTATCTGTTGGATGCAGTATGGAAGGGCTCCCTCCTCGGCCCCTGCTCCCTTTGCTCTCCATAATGCAGGCACCTGGTCCCCGAGCCTGATCTTATGCCTGGTGACTCCTAAAGCCGCCCCTCCCCCCAGACTTCCTACAAGTTCCAGATCCACATGTCCAGCTCTCATTTGCACTCACCCCCTGATGTCCCACAAGCATAGCGTCAGTTTCAAAGAGACCCAAACTACTGAACTCATCTTCTTTCCGAGTGGGGCTCCTCCCCCTGTGACGACACCATCCTCTCGCCTGGAAGCCGAAAGCTGGGTCCTCTTCTACTCTTTGCCCCGCAGGTTGTGCTGAGCCACACTCTGAACCTTGTACTTCTGGCTTCCAGGGCACTGATCCCGCTGCACAGGGATGAGAGGCCTACTGGCTTTCCTAGGGGACTGTGGGGATCTTGAAGCTGGGGCTGTGTTTTATTCGTTTCTGCCTGCCCAGCCCAGCCCAGCACAGAGGCCAAGGCCACGCCGGGGCCGCAGTGTCAAGACGTCTGGCCTGGCAGCTTTCAAGAGCATGTGGCCGCCTGCTTGGAGATGCTCCCACACCCACAAACACCAGCACACGCCCACACAGAGGAACACACGGGGTCGGCAGGAAGTGGCACTGCCGTCGGTCCCTCATTCTCCGCGTGGATGCTCGGACTGGCCAAGTAACACACGTCCACAGGGGTCTGTGGCCTGACACGGTCCCCCTCCACCCTCATCCGTCTCTTTGGTTTCTTTCCCTTTTCCAGGAGGACCAGCTACAGCCTCGCTTGAGATCTGACCTTGTGTGGGCTGGAAACGCAGGAGCCAGCGTCTTCCGGGCTCAAAGTCCTTCTTTCTTCTCGGTCCCTTAGCACGCCCATTTCAAGGGTTACGTGTGACCCACTTTCCCCCTGGGATATGGAGTTTCAGGGACATCTCCTGAAGGGACTGGCCTGGGCCCCAGGACCCTCACCCACCACTTCTTGCTTGTTGACCACAGACCGTATCCGACAGGCCTGTGCCCCGGACCACCCAGCTCCAGGCGACTCTAACCTGCAAAGCATCCCAAAAACAACTATTCCTGAAAAAAGGAAGGCCCACCCCCTGCTCACCTGACAGGACAGACACACAGACGTCTTGTTCTTCCTGACACCCCAGTGGACACCTGAGAGGGAGGCTGACAGACACCACATGAACGGGCAGAGTGGGACAGAGGGACTTGTTGGGGTTGACGTCAGGAAAGACGCAAATAGAGACACTGAGACCAACAGACCCCAGAAGGAGCAAATGGGGACAACAGCGGGGGAGGAGACCGGGCAGATCACAAGAGGCGTTTCTCAAGGCTTTCGGGTCGTTCGGATAAGCCGGCAACAGTTTCTGGAATCAGACACAGACTGAGCTACCAAACATCAATCACCTTTATGAACAAAAGTTATTTTTGCGGAAATATTTTTCTGAAATTGTATCTTATAAAAGCACAGGAACCACAGTTTTCTAAAGGCCATATCTTTGGGGAAGAAAGATCCACTGAGGTTTATTTTTAAAATACATATATCTATTAAAGGCTTTGTCTTCTACTAGGTCTATAAAATATGACTATGGCCATCCCTTTCATCCCACCTCCTGGGAAACCACTGCCCAAGGAGGGAAGGGAGAGGATGCCTGATGTCACTGCACCTGGCTATCCAGTCCCCTGCTCTGTCCCCTCCATGGGGTCAGCTCTCTGGAGCTCCCCGCAAAGGCTAGCCCCCCTCCCACTTCCTCATAAGACCTTTGGTTGCCTCTTAGTTCCAGACTCTCGCCTAAGACTGTCAGAGCTCAGACTCACACTCAGACGGGATGTACACCTCAAAGCATGAAACATCTTGCTTCCTCTGCAAACACCATAGCCCAAGAAGGAACCTGACCTCCGAGTGAGAGTGCACGGTGTGACCTGCTCTGTATGACGCTTGAACTCTCTGCCGTTTTGCCCCTGACATGGGTATCTGATCCTTGAGGTCACAGGGCATCAGGGAAAGAGCTGGGTCAGCTTCTCTTCATTGCCCATCTGACTTAGGAACGGGCTAACAGGAAGCTCTGCTCCCTCCTGGCTGTGCGTGGCACACGCACGCACGCACACACACAGAACAGTTTCTTAACAGTGGAAAATAACGGGCTGTGAGGACACAGCACCTGCTAAGACAGAAGGTGACATAAAGTCTCTACCATGTTACCGTGCTGTGCTTTGGAAACATGGGCGATGCAGGTAGGATGAGAAGCTTGTGCCAAATTCTATGTTACCTGTTTCCCAGGAGTGTAATCTCAAGGAGCTGAAGTATACTGTCCCAATACAGCTGCAGGGGGCCACCTCTGGGGTCAGGGGTTAGATCTTAGAGACAGCAGGAGATGAGGGGGAGCCCCAAATGTATTATTCCACTTCTCTTTTTCAGCAGCCCTAAGAAGCAGGTGTATTATTCTCATTTTCAGATGAGGAAAAAGGCTCAGAGAGATTAAGTAACTTGTCTAAGATCAGCTGGTGGCAGCAACGGCCTTGAAACTAAGTGGGCCTGACTCCAAAGCCTGTGGAGATAGCGGGTACTGAACGCATTTGTTGGAGGAACGGCCAATGCCCAGAGGCCAGCATCCCCTCCTCTGACCCTCTGCTCCGATCCCACAGTATTATCCCCACTGTTTGGGAATTATTATTCCCAATTCCGCCCATTCTTCCTACTCTGGGTCCTTCAACTCATATATGCCCACGGAGCCTCCTGGTGTGTCCCCGACCCTCTTCTGACACCCATTCTCAGAGCCAGACCTCCTGTTTCAGAAAAGAGAATGTCTCCTTGCCACCAAGGCCCACCCTGAGACCTATCACTGACAAAGAGCAGGCATCTCCCTTGCCCCTTCCCTCTCTGCTTTTCTTTTTTTTTTGAGAGAGCAAGCGAGCGAGTACATGGGGGTGGGTTGGGTAGTGGGGCAGGGAGAAAGAATCCTAAGCAGGCTCCACGCCTAGCCCAGTGCAGAGCCCAGCGCAGGGCTTAATCCCACAACCCTGAGCCCATGACCCGAGCCGCAATTAAGAATCGGACACTCAACAGACTGAGCCACTCAGGCGCCCCTACACCTCTTTCTTTCTAACCCTGAACTGTCTGCTGAACTTGAGAAGCCCCCTGAGGATTCTCCAGGTAGGGTGAAAATGTCCTCTGTCTAAAGCGGAATTCATCACTTCCCCACATCTGTTCTGCCACTTGCATTTTTGGGTAAATTACATCATCATCTATCAAGTCACCGCAACCAAAAACTTGGTGTTTTCTTAATTTTCTTTCTCCCCCACTCATTCTACCATGCACTCCCCATGCACTCCCCATGCACCCCAAGTGTGGATTAAGCAACAGGAAGAAAGGGTTGCAGCTTATAGGTTATTATCAAATGGTAGAAGTTATTTGGAATGGGACAGAAAATTGTCCCCAGATATGGCTGGGTGTGGCTCTAACCCACGTGGCAACTGACAGAGGTGCCTGTGAGGTGTCTGAGTTGTGTCTGTGTGTCGGTTTGTGCACTCCTACAGGACTCCGTTCAGCTGGGTACAGGTTTCCGTGTTCACCTAGTGTTCCTTTGGGACAACACTGGTACATAAACAAGGAAATCATGTTACACTCTAATTGTTCCTTAATATAGTAACTGTGTTGGAGCGAATTTGTGTTTTCAAAACAAGCATTATAACAGAACTGATTGTATATGTGTGTGAGTGTAAACAACAGAAATCCTAAATGATCTCATAAACATTCAAGGAATGAAATAAATATTTTAAAGTAGTCCCACAGGGGCGCCTGGGTGGCTCAGTGGGTTAAAGTAGTCCCACAAAGTAAACATGAGATCCAAATGATATTACCAAGGGCTATCAGACTTTCATAAAGGATCATTTCATTCCTTCTGGAAATTTTTTCAGGGAAGAAAAAAAGCACAGATCCTGCAACTTATTATATCAGGCCAGAATAAGTTCAATACCAAAACCAGACAAGCAAAGTAAAAAAGAAAGGAAATTTACAGGCTGATCTTGAACACAGAACATGGAAGTAAGAATCTGAAGCAAAATATTAGTAAATGGAGTCTGGCAATTTCTAAAAAAGTAAACCCATCATGAACACACTGGGTTTGTTCTAAGAATGACAAGTTTGTTGCACATGAGAAAAATCTATTAAGTGAAACTTACCTCATTAACAGATCAAAGGAGGAAAAAAGTTGTGTTCTCAGTAGATACAGAATCATTTGATAAAAAGCTAATACCCACTCATGATAAAAGTACTAAGCAAACCAAGAGGAAAAGGAAATTTTTAAACCTGAGAAAGGATATCTACCAAAAACCTATAGTGAGCATCATTCTTAATAGTGAAATAGTCCCTTTAAAATCAGGAATAGGGGTGCCTGGGTAGCTCAGTGGGTTAAGCCTCTGCCTTCAGCTCAGGTCATGATCTCAGGGTCCTGGGATCGAGCCACGCATCAGGCTCTCTGCTTGGTGGGAAGGCTGCCCCCCCCACCCCCCGCCTACTTGTGATCTCTCTCTCTCTGTCAAATAAATAAATAAAATTAAAAAAAAAAAAGGAAGAAACAAAATTGCCATTATTTGTAAATGATATGATTACCTACACAGGAAACCCAAGAATCTACAGATAAATTATTAGAATAAAGGAGTATAGCCAGATAGTTGGACATAAAATCAACAAGAACAAATTACATTTGTATATGACCGCCACAGTTATAAAACAATTTTTAAACAGTAGCAACAACAACAACAAAAAATATAAAATACCTAGAAATAAATGAACAGGATGTGAAAAGACTTCTGCTTTTGGCCATGAGGGACTAGGAGAGACCAGACCTAGTCTCTCAGCTGAAGCAATTAAGAAAAGCTGGAGAAAATATATGAAACAACAGTTTTCAAGATGCTGGGCATGAAGCAACAAAGGAGGAATCTCTGAACGATGGGAAACAAAGGAGGTGACGCTTAAGATTACCCCAGCTTGTTTTCTTGAGTTTCCAGATGACGGTGAAGAGAACCATCTGGAAGCCAGAGGACTCTAAGCTGAGATGAGTTGGGGACACCAAAGTGGCTAGGGTTTGCAGGACAGAATATTGGATGGGAGGGAGCTACACTGACAGAAAACTCAGAGGGGTCCCCTCAAATGCTCAACAGAATGTTGAATAAAGAAATAAATGTGGGGGCGCCTGGGTGGCTCAGTCGGTTAGGCCTCTGCCTTCGGTTCAAGTCATGATCCCAGGGTCCTGGGACTGAGCGACACGTTGAGCTCCCTGCTCTGTGGGAAGCCTGTTTCTCCCTCTCCCACTCCCTCTGCTTGTGTTCCCTCTCTCGCGTCTCTCTTCTCCCTGTCAAATAAATAAATAAAATCTTAAAAAAAAAATAAATGTGAAAGGCAAAACTTTCCTAAAGGGAAAGACTGATAAATGTGACTTCCTTAAAATGAACGGTATGTTCAACAAGACCCAGAATAGAGAGAAAAGACAAGACACAAACTGGGTGAAGCTATTAGCCACATGCATTAACAACACCTAGAATATAAAAAGAATCCCTACAACTCAAGAAGAAAAAGACAACCCAATAGAAATCGGGGCAAAAGAAACAAACAGGGATTTTGCAAAAGAGAAAACTCAAATGGCCAGTAAACACATGAAAGATGTTCAGTGTCCTTGGTGGTCTGGAAGTAAAAATTAGGATCATAATGAGAAACCACTTAAAACTAACTACTCCATTGTCCCAAGAAGACTTGAGCATGAAAAACAATAGGAACTCTGAT